CTATTCAAAGACAAGTATTTTGTACCTACATATAAAAAGTGCAAAATGTTTGCTATTTATGTTAAAAACGGGGGCTTTTGAAGTAAAATATTCATAACGAAAAAACTGTTTCTCTTACTTGTCGCAGAAATTTATTCGCAATATTTTCCAACTTATTATCCGAAGAAAATGAAGTGGAATATTCGATAAAATATTGCACGCGTGCCGGATTCTGTTCGTATTAAGCTTGAATTCAATGCCCAAAAGAAATATTCACGACTTTTTAAAACGCAACAAATACCAGTTTTTTATTCTCTTAGTGATTTATTTCTCTCTCATACAAACTTTAACGATGAACAAGATTCGTTTTTATGCCAATTTTATTTGTATAGCAACAATAACAATACATAGAAATTAATTATTAAACCTCATAGAAGTCACATGTCTTATATGATCAATGCTTTTCGTAATATATTTGCTGTTTCATAACATTATACATTTTATTCATCGACATCTGGCTTCAAGCAGGCTGATGGATACTTTACCTGCTTTTGTTAGAAATAATTCGGCTGAAAAGCGTTTCTTTTATTTACTAAGGTCAGCGATCAGAAATCGCTTATTTCAGCACTCAGCCCTTTTCTCGTGATAAAATGTTCCTTTCATACTTTTTCCTGCTATAGCTCATTAACTTGCCCCCCTTCCGATATCGATGGATGAAAGGTCAACACTGTCCCTTCTAGGTAATAACTTTTTAAAGTAAACGATCTTAACTTTCTAATGAGTTTTCAAGAAATCTGTGCTTACTTTTGAACGGAAGTACAGCTTATTAAGATTGTACGAGTCAGGCTTTTTGAAGCTTTTCAATATTTTTTTTTGCTACAATACCTTGGACCTTAATTAAAGTTTCTTGTTGATTTGATTAGTTGCGTAATTACCTATTGGCTTTTGAATTGAATCTAGTATCGAACAGGAAACAATAGCGAGTGCAAGAGTTTTCTGTATCTGATTGATGTTAATTTAAATTTGAAACATAAAATTTACGTATAATTAGTTCCAAAGCTATTATTGAAACGTCAATCGCTCAAACTTTGGGAAGTTTGATCTTAATGTACATTATTAACAAAGTTAAACATCGACTTTAAAAGCCATTCCAAAGAATTGATCTCTAGATTTTGATTCACTTTATATAACAGCAAATTTAATAGAAATTCCATCTAAAGTACATACGGAATTTTCGCAATTGTGTTTGATAAATAGGCAAAGGGCAAATTATTATACAATAACAAATATTTGGAAATGCACAGTTCGGCAAATACCAATACAAGGTTGAAATTTTCAGCATAAATTATCAGTGGGTTGCTTTTGTGCAAATACTACCATTATTGGGTTTTTAGAATATTTAACTTACTGGAACAGTTAAATATGCTGAGTTCATACAAAATATTATTTTTCTTTATCCCCTGCTGCAAAGTACGTACTTTCGCCACTATTTTCAACGGCGGAAGCATAACTTTTACTCATTTCAAATTTTCTTCATCCCGTGTGGAAAGTAATAACTTTCGCCACGCACGCTGACAGCTTGACTTGGTCACTGAATGTCAGTTGCCTCTTTGACAACAATTTCAAAGTCTTGTTTTCAAAACCTTATACTAGAAAATGTTGTCAAAGCAGTCGGTGCAAACAGTCAAAGCAGTCAATGTCAGCGTGCGTTTCGTAAGTTATCACTTTCCACACGGGATGAACCAAATTTTATTGAATAATGGGCGGAAATGTTAATTGTCATTGTCATGTCAATGTAACGAGTAAAAGTGATTATTTTACGATCTAAAATAATGGCGAAACTGTGTACTTTCCACCAAGGGATCAAGAAGTATACTATTTTTCTACTGTGCAAGACAGAACTAAATTAAAATTTGATCAAAATATGTATTAAATTTGGGAAAAGCTTTGTGTGTAGCAAAAGTGTTACTTTTTCAATTTATTTCAAGCAATTTTAAAACCAGTTCTTTTCAGAAAGTCTCTTAGCTTTAAAGCTAAACTTACCCAAACCACAAAGTTTACGAAAACAGCGGGCTTTTTAAGTGAGAAATTTTCTTATTTTGCTATATTTTGTTCTGTGGAAGTCACTATTCATATGGAAATCTACAATCTACTTCAAGCAGAGGAAGCCTGCATGTATCTGTTCGAGTGTATCTCTAAAACTTGAATTTAAATAACGTTTTCAATGCTGTAAAAGAGTTGCAATTGAATATTTAAAACCAAAATTCAATTAATTTGATTAAACAAACTAACAACTAACTAAAAGCAAATTAACAAGGGTATCATACCGTTTAGTGATTTAAATTTTATAAGCAAAATTACTTAAACAATATCAAAATCCATTAATTTGAAGACAATGTTTTGGAAATAAAAGGTTTTCAACTTCTAACATGCATCTTGTCTTCAACGCATTGACTGGCGACTATAAAAAAAGATTTGATCTTAAAACTTTTCTACAACAAAATTAGACATTCATTTGAAAAATAATACGAGTTTGCTCGCATCAGTAATGTTTAGTAATGATAATACTTATTTCTGGTAAATACATCTACCGCAACTGGTAAGATAAAATTAATCGCAATAAAGTTAGCTCTTCGATTGGCTTATAAAAACTTGAAAAAACAGCACGAAGCCTTGAATTTTAATTTTGCTTTTCAACTCTATATAAATGTTTTTTTGTGCTAACTTAGGATCTTATTTATGTTTTATCAATTTCGTTTTTACTAATGTTCATTGCATGAAGTTTCATTTTGATAACCGCTAAGTAACTTATTCTTCGTGGTGAATGAAAATAAATCATATTTCAATTGTTTTGAAATTGGATTTCTGTCTAAATTTCGGCGTTTACTTGGCATTTCCGTTATTAAATGTTTTACAATTTTTTTCAAACCTTAGTTGGAGTCGCTGAATTTTCTACAACATGTTTCAATGTGTCGTAAAATTAATATGTTTTTACAAGTTCTCTCAATTTCAGATACCGCCTTACCTTTTATTCAATATTTAGATTCAGCCTTAAACATATTGTTCTGCAATGTTTCGAAAGTTTTTGTTAAATAATCAATGTCATCTATCAGCTACTTAAACTCAAATCTAAATTTTTAATAAAGGCGCTTGTAATTTTACATATACTATTTTAACGTTCATTTAATAACTTTTATATGTATAGTTATGTTTATAACTATTTTAAGTTGTTGATTAAAAATAACTGAAAGAGCCGATAATGCTTCAATGAAATAAAATTTCCCAAAATTGAAAGCAAAAGTATTAACAATCAGCTGAAATTTTCCCGTTATTTGCTCTGGAAACACTGAAATGCATCGCGAAGTGCAATAGATAATGCAAATTTTAATTATAATTTATGGCTTTACATATAAACGCTCTCTGCAATCGGTTTTCCATTTGTGCATAATTTTCAATTAGAAATATTGCACTGTTGATATTATTAAAAGATAGCTATTTTAACCTAAAAAATTACCATACTTTGATCTAGGGCAAATATTTGCATTTACTAATAAAAAGTTATAGTAAAAGATAGAATGATGCAAACGTCACAGTTTGGTTCATCTGCAGAAAAAACGATTTTCCTGAAATTAGTAATGAATTAAAGTTTATATAATCGGATATGAAAATGTACTTTATGTTAAATATGAACTGTGAATAAAATTGCCTTTAAAATATTTCCTTAAAATTTTTTTTTTCGTATTTACTACCGATACCTACTTATAGGAAGATAGGGCAACTGTTTAGGAAACTGTAGTGCACAAGATATTCTTCCTTGACTAACTTTCATGCAATGTTAGTCAATGATAAAATTGCCTCTTAGGAGACCTTCTGTATAAAAATTTTCATTTGCATAATAAGCACATTTGGAAATACTAATCGGTGTGTCCAGTCACCTTTTTTAAAAAGTTGTTAATACCATTTGAAGTATTGTTAATTCAAAATAGTTAAAGCATACCTAATTCTTCGTAAAATGTTTTTCAAATTAATTCGGCGCTACGGAATGCCTTGGAAAACACGAAATTGCTTTCATCTCAAATCAGCAATGTTCCCACGTGTTCAGGCAATTTTGTAGAGCCTGCGTTGAAACATTCCCATACTATTTGAATTCGCCGCTTAGACATTGTTGATGTAGGAGTTACTTTGCATAAAGGAGAATGCAAATTAACTGCTTATGTTTGAGTTTGATATCTATTTGGGCAACATAATTTACAGGGGTAATTTACACCGACTACCTCTCTATGCTAAGATCAGCTACACGTGAAACCTTCGACCCTAACTTGTTTTTACATACTTGTTATTTACTGCAAAAGTTTTGTTCTCTCGTATTTATTTTATATATTTCGTCGTCAATACGCCATTTTTTGTTTCTGTAGAATGTTTCTTTTCTCGTTAATCGAGTTGATGAAAAATATAGAAGAAGATATAGAAGAAATATACGTTTTTAATACGGTATTTTTATATGGTTCTCTGCTATACATGCATAACGAAAATCATGTTTCAAAGCTTCCCACGTTTGGTTTGGAACTTCAACGCATTTTTCAATATTTTCAGTTTTTGGTGCCCGATTTGTTGTTGAAAAACTGTACCTTTGCTGTAACACTTTGTGTCTTTTTAAGCGTTTAAATTTGATCAGGGTCTTCATTTCATTTGTGCCCCATAAGTGATTCTCTATAGACGTACAAAATAATGCTAGAAATTTTAAAGTTTTTGGATAAGACATCAACAGCAAACTGATATTGGCATTCAACTATCCACCCCGGTAAGCTAATGAATGAATGATAAGGCTAGTGAATGTCGATAAGGCCCCAAGCTTGGGCACATTCTAATTAGATTAGCGTATGCACAACTGACCTAATCAGATAATTGTGTAGAGAGTTCTGGGAACCCTACACGACACATCTGAAATCCATCAATCAATATTTAATTAGTAAGATATTACATGGTAAGCCCATCGTGAGAGCAATAAACATTCTGTTACAATGGAGAGTGTTACTTGTTACTTTTGCAAAATAGTAACTAATAACAAAAAGAAAAATATAGGGCCAACCAGACAGGGTGGTTTCCTTGCCTTGAAACACTTAAGTATTTCGGAAACGATTGGTCCGAGTAAAAAATGTTTCAAATAAGAAGTTAACGTCTGGGAGGGGGAAGTTTATTCCTGTCATAAGCTTATGCATCCACATCTGCAGCCGAGGAAGAGGAGGTGGATCAGTTTTATGAGGATATCAACAGGGCTCTTACTGTTCCTGGATGTAGTCAAACCTTTCTTATAGGAGACTTCAACGCTAAAGTTTCAATTCAATTGGACGAGGCTGAGAAAATAATGAGGCCATTTGGAATCGGAGCCAGAAACGATAGAGGCAATACTTTAAAAAACTTCCTCTCACAACATCGACTATACCTAATGAATAGCTTTTTCCAGAAAAAAGAACACAGAAGATGGACTTGGATAAGCCCGAATGAACAGACAAAAAACGAAATCGATTTTATTTTACCACAGAATGGTTAGGACACAGGTTAAGATGGATTGGAAAAAACAAAGATCAAAGATGGTCCGACGAAACAAAAACTTTAAATGGACCCCGCCTAGTAACGACACAGAATACGCAGGTTCCGGGACAGTTGCCTTAGAAGATATGACTTTGAACAACCAACCAGATATTGACGCCATGAATAGCAATATGAGAACCATAAGGAGGCGGAAAGACAGCATTGCAAACAAAATAATTAAAAACAACAGAAGTTCACCCAAAATACGAAATATGTGATATCCGTACAAAGAGAAGTGTTGAAACAAAATAACAGTAACTCTGAAGACTTAAGACTGTTAAGCAAAGGAACATCTAAGAAACTTAGGAAAGATGTAAGAAAATTCAATAGAGAAAGTGGCAAACTATAGAATAGAACAGAAATATCAAGGTGTTGCGAAAAAAATTATCAAATGGAAAAAGAGAGACGTTTTCAAACGAAAAGACAGCCAAGGGGTAACAACAAACTGCTGAGAATAACAAAAAGCTTCTATACTGAACTATGCACAAGTAATCATCGACAAACACGCAACAGTCAACAACATCTGGACAAAAAGTTCAACCGAGGATCGGAAGATATTCCGGATATAACTCTAGAAGAGGTCAGAAACTCGCTGAAGGAAATGAAGAACAACAAAGCCCCAGGCGAGGACGGCATAGTGATAGAGGCTGTGAAACTGAGGGGAGAAACGCTACTAAAAAGGATTAAAGTTTTATTTAATCTATGCCTTGAAAATGGAATAATCCCGTCGCAGTGAAACAACGCTATCATGATACTTCCCCATAAAAAAGGCGATATTACCGAAATCGAGAACTATAGACCCATAAGCCTTCTTTGTCATCTGTACAAGCTTTTTACCAAATCATTGCCAAACGTCTGGAAGGTAGGAGTAAAGTAGGACCAGACTTTGCTCAAAGCTCATATGTAAGTGTATTCTGCTAGTTTGCTGGTTATGGTCATATAACTCGCGAGCTAAGTTTCTTGAGTTGAGTTTCTTGAATGTCAGAAAACTAAGCACTTATAGACTAAAAATGCTGAATTATATCATCGCAGCAATTTAACAAATTTTCGCTCGTTCCTGCAGAACTAAACAGTAATACTTATAAACAAAAAGTGATAAACACAATCATCAAGGAAACGCGCAACCACAAACAACATATTTTCCGCTGAGAAATCGTTACTGAAACTGCTCCAACTGGATGGATGGCTGGGAACCGGTAAAATCGGCTAATAATTTATACGCCGATGACACGACTCTAATCGCTGCATCAGAAGAAAAATCGATCAATCTTATTCGAAGAGTCGAAGAAACAAGCAACGAAGTAGGCCTGCAGATAAACAGAAAGAAAACCAAAATAATGATAATTGATCGTCAAAATAATAACAGATCTGAAGTAAAAATGATAAACAGCATCGAGACTGTTGACGCTTTTGTATATCTTGGTTCCACAATCTCGAGCAAGGGCGGATCCAGCGAGGAAATCAAGAGGAGAAGCGCAATAGCGAAAGAATCCATGACCAAACTAACCAAAGTATGGAAAAGACATAATCTATTCCTTAACACCAGAATGAGATTGGTCAGGAACTTAGTGTTTTCAGCCTTTCAATATGGATCCGAATGCTGGACTTTAAGAAAGGATAAGGATAAGCGGAAGATCGATGCCTTCGAAATGTTTTGTTGGCACAGAATGCTGTGTGTGTCCTGGACTGAGAAAAAAAGCAACCAATCTATTCTGGATCAGTTCAGAATTAAGAAGATATTGAACATTGTGGTAGTGGAGAAAATAGCTAAATTATTTGGTCATGCGGTCAGAAGAAAGGGTCATGAGAGACTCACTTCGGAGGAGACAGTTTCTGAAAAAGATCAAGAGGAAGGTCGCCCACAAGATACATGCATCTTATAACCGGTCTAACCAGCAAAAAATGCACCCAAACATTCAAGATGGTAGAAGTTAGACAGGAATGGAAAGCCATCATAGAAAACAAAACATTAACTCACGAACGACTAAGAAGAAGAAATTACGGCTCTTAAAACAAATTAAACCTAAGCATCGTTTTAGAGATAATGAAAAAATTATGGTTATCAATTTCGGACCTATACAGAGGCATAATATGATCATGTCGGTCCAACTTTACAAAGCATCTAAATAGTTAAACTTTTAAATCAAATTAAACTTCTGCTAAAAATGATTGAGCTGGTATAACTTGATATTCTGGATACGTTAAAATTCATGGCTTTCACTTAAATGGATTGTCATAAGTTAAAACTCGAAGTTTTTGCTGTTAGGGATGAACAAAGCAGTTTGATAAATAAGCAAATTTGCAACAAAGTAAAAAAATATTGGAAAAACTTTCAATGGTATTTTGACATAAGCATTTAGGAAGAGATACAATTGATGGAATATATGCATTTTGTAAAATTATATGAACATATTGTAAAAAATACATATGTATATTGAAAAATTATAAAATTTTCTTGCTCATTTTACAACATGGGAAAACTATACTGAAAAGATATTCGGCTTTCATGGAATAAATTTAAAGTTATACTTTAGTCTTCGGCATACTTTCAAGAGAATTTAATTAACCGGTTCAACCAAAAACAAATCAACGAAGTCTTTGCTACTTCAAAACAGCTAAATTTGAAACATAAACAGAAGCTGCATAGCACAGTCCGTAAATGGGAAATTTTGCCGGATTAATGTAATTAATACAGCAAAACAACAAACTTTTATTTGCTTTAGTTGTGATGGAAGCATGCAAAATAAATAAAACAAAAATATTCATTGCAATACAATTTCAAGTTATTAAGTTGTTATTTGTATCATTTTCGCTGATATTATTACATTGATTTTTACAGAAAATAATGAACAACATTTAAGGTAGCGTTTTTCAGCGGAGTTTTCTTATCATACTCAACATCTCCCCCTTCAGTGCAATTTTTTATTATAGTATGAAGCTGTCGAATATGGGATCAGTTCTCAACCATAAACTCCCGAAAAAAGCAAGGCCCCCAGGACAAATATTTATCAAATGGATTGTGTAGCTTATAAAATACCCCTGTATCAGATATTTCAGACAAAAAAATTAAATTACGTTTCTTTACTTTGCGCCATCAATTTTGAGGGGACCTTTTCAACCTAAAGACATAATTGAAAGTCAATATGTGGGTAGTTTTTGCAAAGCATTTCAGTACGAAATCGATGCTATGCGATAATATATTAAAGTGTTTTAAATAGAAGATTCATATGATAACACTTTAATAATTTTTGTTTATTATTCTTTTTTATTTTTTTGTTATTATTTCCGTTTGTTTTTTATTCGTGGATTTTTCAATTTCCAATTAGAAGTTATTATAATGCAAAAATCTGCTGACATTTCAATGTTCTTACAATATGCAAGACTTATATCAATACACAAATATTTCACTCTTCTTCTATCCATTCTGCTATCCATTCACATTTTACAGTGACCATTTTCATAATCTGCGAAAGTTTATTCAATTTTTTTATGTTTATTTTCTTTGCAGAATGAGTTTTTTCAAATATTTCTTGAAATAATAGAAATTTTCCATCTTTTAAAATGCTATTTTGCTCAGCATGCAATGCGTAAATTAAACCGAATTGGCATCCCTTCCGATTTCCGACATTCCCATGCTAAAACCTCGAATTATAACAACTTCTATGGTGAGAAAAGCTGTGAAATGTCCTCTCTTTTTCGCAAATATACACGCTTTTAGTGGTAGATTTTCTGTACTATTTTTGGTTTACACATAAAAAAGCGTTGGAAATTGGGTTTTCGTAATATACCAACTTGAAAATTCTTATTTTAATATTTCCTCGTGTTTTACTATCTAAAAGCCAACAATATTTCTATTATTTATTATAAAACTATATCATATTTATATATAAAAATTGTTTATACTTATAATAAAACATACTATCACAAATGTGTCCACATAATTATTATATTCACGCTCTATAATATTGGACCAATTAATGTGTTGCGTGGCTATTTATATTCGCTTAAAAGTTTATTTTTCCACATTTCCTATATATAATCAGCTATCAACAGATCTAAAATTTTTAATCAATTGTTTTATATTTCATTAAAATTGTAATTTAATGTAATGAATTAAAGCTCCATTATGATAATGACGAAAAATGCGCAAATTTTGGATTTTTGCATGGAAAATTGCTTATTGCTGACTTTGCTCATAGGACAGGTTAATTAAAACAATTAGCCAAGAGCTGTTTTAAATTTATAGTAAGATTAATAAGAAAATATGAAAAATTTCGATGAGTTTGAAAAACAAAGTATGGAAATTTCATACATTCTTAAATCAAGTTTTAAATTAAGGTTGCAACTTTTCTTACCATTACATAATATCTACAAAAAGAACAAACTGAAAAAAAATATAATATCTAGTGTTAATAAATCAATAATTAAGCGTCCTAAACCAGTTTATAAAAGTCAAAAGTGACTTAAAACCCGCCTAAATGTTCATACAAAGCTTAGAATTTATTCAGATAATCAAAAATTATTGATTTAACAACCATTTAAAAAATTAACAACTTAAAATTTCAAATTTTGTTAATAAATCATGAAACGTTTGTATTTTCGTAACAAAGCAGTCTCAACATCATGCTCTTAATTCCGTTTTAGCAAAATTAAATTTGATGATAACTTTTTAAAATATGTTTATTACTTTGTCATTTCAGTTAACAACAATTCGCTCTAACATAAAAAAAGTCCATAAAAAACACAAAATACATTTGCCCGTTTAATAAAAATTAAAGCTGAAGTAAGACACAGAAAATATGGAGATTTTGTCAATTTATGATGCAGGGAAAAATACAAAATTACTAAATTTTAGTCTTGAAAGGCAGCCTCTAAATTTTCTAGTCAAATGTAGATTAATATGTATACATACCTATACCAAGAGGAAACACTCGCTGAATAAATTACGTTCCGACCGAG